CGGAGAATAAAAATTGTTGATCCATAGCTGCTAATGGAGGTCCTAATTAGAATCCTCAGCGATGTTGTTCCGAAACTGTTGTCAATTGGTTTGTCCCAGAAATTGCCCGCTTTCAGCGTTCCATCACCGCAATAGCTTCCCGTTGAAGGAATTCTTGACGACATCGAAAGAATCGCGCAATGATATCGCAATTACGCCGGAATTTAGCACGTCCTCCATTGTGGAAAGGGCCATAATAGCAGTCGTCGGCGATCCGTTTGGTTGTTGATTAGGTAGGAAATAGGTGAAGAACCCCCGTCTAAACGACGTGGTCTCAGTCTCGGTCTCCTTCTCTCGCACTGACTCCTCTTGGTTGTTCCGCTCAGTTTCGCTCATTGATCGACCTAAAAAGAGGAGGTAATCGTCGGAGTTTTCGTTCTATATAGCGTTCCACTAAGACCTGTCTGTCTGTGGTAATTGTAAGACCAATACATTACTTCTCTAACGACCATCATTTTCATGTTATTTCCTTTTTTTCTTTCCCATTCATATCATGAAATGGAGTGAATTTCTAGCTCATGCCAAATTTTTCTAAGGTGTGCCATGCACTCCAGTCTTTCTCGGAATCGGAATAGCTTTTTATAAAAGCTCAGTCTATCCGAAGTTCATTTTTCGGACGCTGTCTATATGGAACACAAATTTTTATCCTCCCTGACGAGTCTGTCGCCAATTACCTACCCTACCGACAGGATTGAAACGTCAACTATGTAGGGCTGGACTTGATGCATGAACCGCATGTGGAAGTGATGGGCCAGTCTTCACTGACTCAGCTTCACCCTCACTCCACGAGACCGTAAAGGATTTGATTGCTTGTACGATCTGGGAAGGATGGGAATACGTGAAAGTTGATAACTTCATTGGTTTTTCCGTCCTCTACTTACCTTTATTTGGGAAAGCTGTGTGGAGCAGTGGCAAAAAGCTGCACAGCGGCTTCCCTTTGGTCTAACCAGTTGAAGTTTCAATTTTGCTTGGGCTGAGCAATCCTTCTATCCATGTCAGTTAAAGTTTTGAGTCAGTCAGTTAAATCATAGTTCCGTATTCGAACTGTTTTTTCTCTATCAAACTTGGCTGCCAGAGAATAATCATCTACAGAATCGTTGTAAAGATTAGACACGAACCTAACTGCTACTACGTATTTGGATAGAAGTCGAATGCTTATCGTATACCTTTACGACTGATTAATGCTTAGCGGATTGTTTTGTCTTCGATGTTATTTATTTTACCTTAGTTTTATAATAATAAATCACAGGTAGTAACGAAATAAGGGTTACGTATGTATATATGTTGAATGTTCTCAAACTTTTTGACTGATACCATATGCAGTTGAACTTCCCATGACATGAATTCGCTTTCGATAGATCGAAACTCATGGAGAATAATCTGCCCATTAATTTAGTTGGCATGCGCCATGCATTTCCTTTTTGTTCGTTGTCAGAATGATTGAATGCTATTTCCACCTACATACTGGTTTGCCAGACTCTTCTGGATTTTGAACCTTTGATTTTATGTTCACTTAGGAAATTCAGCGTTTTTTTTTTCTCGCGATCTGATTTTTGTACAACCTCGTTGCTCTCCGTGAAGTTCTGATAAAACCGCCAAGTTCCTCGGTTCCGTAGGACTCCTCCAAGATTGATACCTTATGCATGCAGTATTCATAAGACAGAAAAAAACTTCTTTAAGAGTGTCTTACTTGTGAAAATGTAGAGAGAGTGGAGGGGGCAAAGTAAGAGACGAAATATGGTCATTTTGTATGTCTTCTGACATGAATTACGAGAAATTTTTGCATTCCTTCTTATTCAGGGTCCTATCAACCCTCACTCTTCTGTCGACGCTTTTTTTTTGCAGAGGGGGTAGTCAGTGAAGTTGATTGAAGGGTCGTAATCAAAAGAAAAATGTAATGGCGACACGTTTGGCGACAAGTCGGCCATTTACTTGCGGCTGAATCCTCTATCGTTTCGAAGGAGATTGGTCACAACATCCTTAGAGAACTGTGGGAAATCATTGCATAAAATAGTTTTCACTTAGGTTCTTCTACCTCGTCCTTGTGCCTCCTTCTACTTTTTCTTTACGATGAGATCTGTAGATACCTTTAATTTCATTTTTTAGCGACAAGGTTTCACTAGATTGCTAACTGCTGTTTTTCCTGACGATCGTCGTTGTTTTTCGCCTTTTTTCAAAAGTAGATCTGAACATTCAAATATCCAATATACTCGCTCATCTGGCTGTATAGAAGATCGAGTAGTTAGGCAGCGGTTTTTTCAAGGTCGGTTTTCATATCTCAGGGATGTGGCCTCTAACACTGCTCCATTGAGAACCATGGGTGCATCTGTCATCTGATGGCTCCATAGTTCTGATTTCCACAAAAGAAAGGGGTAAATGTAACGAACACCTCATGCATTACCCTGAGTTTGAATGGTTGATCGCGTCTTGCCTGATCGAGCAAACTCGTCATTTCGGAAAGGTCAGTCATTCAGTAGCCCAGGAGATTCAAAAAAGGAGATAAAGTCCTGTCAACGAAATGATCTCGAGGATCTCTGAACTAGATTTCCTTTTGTTTGTTCTCCGTTTTCTTTTCGCTACCCATGGTCTTCTCAATAAGAGTGTTTCTCTAGCAAATCAGATAAGAGAGTACCCCTTCATATACAGATCATGAAACAATCAGGTCCTGTCACGAAAAGGGAGAACTGTATGAATCGCGCGATGTCGCTTTAGTCAACAATGCGAAATATGATACCCGCTGTATGAACATACACGCCGCTTATTTGCGTGTGCCGTTCGATTGAGTGGCACTGTCGGCTTTCCCACAAGCGATTTCCTCTCCCAGCATAGACTGTTCAGATATCATGAACTCGCTCAGATCCCACATCCATCGGCTAGTTCCCAAACAGAAATACTCTACTGTCACCATGAAGCAAAGACTAGCCCATCCACTTGGTGTCAGGTTTCATGCCACAGCTGGCTATTTCCGTTTTCACACCCGTTTGGGACGTGATGGATGTTCTCGGGTTGCCATATGTGCAATCGAATGGGGCTTACTTGACAAGAAGGACTCCCTGGTCTTTCTTCCCTGGACTGATTCAGACCATTCCCAAGCGCACGATCGGGCACTATCCTTATCATTGCAGATTGTTTGCACATGATGACATCTCGAGTTAGTTTTCGTGCAAGATTATGATGCCGCTCTCCTCTCCCTTGGTGCTATTGTTGGCCACCAATATGGCAATCGCGAGGAGTGAGGGCGAGGCCGCCACCCTCCACCATCGGCGCTCGGCGGTGAACCAGTTCCTCCTGTCACTCTCTCCGCAACTAAATACACGTATACGTGTGTGTACCTCATCAACATTGTGCTCTCTGTTCGTCGGCATCGGCCACCGATCATCTGTTTTTCGCCGCTACCAACAGCGGTATCATACGGTTCCGTCAGCTGTTTCTTTGTTGTTTCAGGACCAGTCATGGATAGCTACAGTACCGAGACGGAATATTTTCAAAAATGTCGCTATATTCATGAAGTTGAACTGGTCAATATGAAATTGCAAATGAGAATCTTAGAGACACACCTAGAAGTAAGTCTCCTTCAGAATAATGCTCTATTGTTTTCCGATTTTTGTTTATTTCTGAGGTTTATTTTTGAAATGTTGTCTTCTGACGTGGTTACCTGCTCTACTTGTTCGTGTGCCAAAGCATAGTAATGACAAATGGCGTAGCTACCGAGCTCATGGCCACAGGATCGAATTCCGGACAGAGTTTCCGTCTTTTGCCTCCGCTCCATACCTCTGGGGTTACATGACTGCGGAATCTTCTGAAAACTGAAGGTCATCAGCTGGTTTAATATGGACACGCCTACGCCAATTACATGGTCGAATGATAGATTCCGGTGATTCCAAATGAAAGTTGAATGCGTGGCGCATTATAAAAAATTGCAACGTTTGCACTCAGCATGGTCTGCCGTATAGCCATTACCTTGAATAACTCGGGACCGAGAGCAGCGTAGCGGCGAAGACTCTTGCACGGTACCAGGCATTCGTCGGGATCAACTCCCTCTTCCTTCCAAACTATTTGGTCTGTGTGGAAAAGAGGTGAAGTGGGGGGGCGCATTCCTTAGAGAGGTCTGATCAAATTTAAAATACTCCCCTTTTTACTTAATCCTTTAAAATGAAGCAGTTGTTCGCTCCTAAGTGGGATAATGCCCTCTCGCACGTTTTACCCGAGCCTTTCGAACACATGCTTTCTAGGATCGAACTGGGAGAGAATGGCTGTTCTTGCAAAGCATCTTTTTCTGTCCCTGTTCATCCCCACTTTGAAGGTTATTTGATCTCTTGGAATGGAAGTGCATTGCTTTTCCATCCCAGGGGACATTCCAAAGCCATTAATGAAGAGAGATGAAAAGAGCTGAAAATGGAGCACATTATCTAAAAAGCGCCCCCTTTTTCAGTACTCTCTGACGTTCTCGATGGCATACCATCTTTCTTATCCAAAACCTGCGAAGCCCTCAGAAGGAGGCAGGAAGCCTTCGTAAATTGGTAGTTTCAAGCTTTCCTCGAACGGATTTACAAGTCAGAAAGGGCTAATCAGCGTTCTGCAGAAGGTGTATGCTGAAGACATTTTTTACGTTTAATTGAATTGGGAAAGCTTCGAACTAATTGCAAAGTATGGCTACTGGCTACGCTGTCCTCTAGAGTTGCAGAAAACCCTCGAAAAAACGTACCTGCACTCTTTTACCGCCCCTCCCTAAACCTCATATGTTCTTGGTCTGTT